GATCGGTACCTATATTAGTCGCATATTAGTTCTAACCCCAAACAATTCTACATCTACCTATTACTCCACATTTCGCAACTACAATGACGCAAAGTACAAGGACCATCTAAAGTCGCAAAGTGTCAGACCGTCGACCTCAAACCACTACTCTCAACTCTGCACCTAAGTAACAGAAGAAATTCCGCCGTAAGCCCAAGCATTCATATCTGTTGAAAATCATAACTCATAGCCATATTCATAGATCGATTGCATGAATCAGTCGCCACCTTAAAACATTACATTCCTTTCCAAACGTATTTACCTGTTCTATAATTGACTTCGACTTCGCAATTAATTCCTAAAGCAATATTACCAATGATTTCGCAATGCAACTTTTAGTGAGTACAGCATGAATCTACACCCTTAATTTCACAAACTTCCCAACCTCAAATCTTAATCGCACCTGACTACCGCCGATAATAAATCAACGAACCAGCTTGACCAAACACAAAGACATATTCATTATCCAATGCTGACATGCATCATGTCATCAATCTCAACGTTCGTGACAATGAGCTGCTTATTCAAATTTTAGCATCTCGCTCCCGGCCTAATCGTGAACTCCAACTGACAATAACGTACCTATTTACTGGCGGCTCTGACATGACCTTCCCAATTCAGATCCTAATATGCTACTAGGGTGTCTGGACCAATAAGTTCAAAGTAATTTAAGTTTTCCAATTCCAATTGAGAGTGCATTTTATGGCAACCGAAAATGTTTGGCAGTCGTCACGGCACGGCAGGCTGGGCAAGGGGGGGGGGGGGCAAGGATTGGGATTGAGCAGACTTTTCAGCAGCACTCACATTCTGGAGTTCCTCTGCGCTCGAACTGAAGAGACTTCTCGCGGGTGACCCCGGACTGACGGCGGCTCCCAGATGGCGTCTCCGGCTCCGGCTGCAGACTGTGACTCTCGGCTGCTCGACTGTGATTCCCTCTCTGGTTGGGTGGTGCACCCTTTTATAGTTGGGGGGGAGGGGTGACTGCCACGCCCTTGCGACGTCATCTTCCTCTGCCTTCTTCTGGTGGTTGGGGCCGTAAGATGGCGCCCTCTGTCCTGTTTAGTCACCTTGCTCCTCCGTGCCTGCAATTTTTGGCCGTCGAATCGTCTTCGTGTTGAGTGCTTTATCATTTTGGTAGTTGCTGACATAAACCAATCCCCGAAAGGTTGGTGATTTTCGAGTTTTAATTTTGATTCTTCAATTTCATTTTATTCAAACTTTTGTTTCCTTCCGTTTCGTCTGCCGGCAACGCCCCTTGTGACGTCACTCTTGCTCCGCCCACTGACGTCATCTTGGTTTGGAGGGTCCGTAGAACAGCGCCTTCTGTCCGCGGTGGGGACGTCCTGAACTACGTTTGTTTCGGACAACAGCGCTTTCTGTCCGCAGTGGAGACGTCCTGAACTACGTCTGCTTCGGAGGCTGTTTGCTAAGTCTAGCGGATTCCTTTGCAGTGAGACGCACTGTTGTGCTACCATGGCTACGTGAGACCCAATGTGCTACGTGCCTTAAGCCTGCGCGTGGTCTCACAGTGTGCCGACGTTTGCTTGTAGCTTCAGCTGCTTTGTAATGACTACCAATGACTCATCCTGATGTGACTGTCTTCAGAGGTGCTTGTCTTAATTGGAGTTTAATGGCGGCCCATTCTGTGCGGACAGTGAGAAATGATTGGGGAGGGTGGACCTGGGGACGGGTGGGAGGAGGGAGGGAATAATGACAAGGGAGGGAAGCGTGCGGCAGCGCTCTGCTCAGCTGCGCGTCACCGGGCCGGCCGTGCCGAAAAGATACTACGTTAGATGTTCAAGATGTAGCGTGCTACAATAACTCATTCCCGTACCTCGTAACTCTATAATGACGTTTGCTTATTGTCACATGTGCGCCGCATTCGCGATTGTTGCCGACGCCTGTTTGCAGTAGAAGTGGCAAAACTGAAAAATTTTGGGAACTGGACCCGGACCCGGTCTGACTGGCACATTTCCGGAACCGGTCAGACCCGGTCTAAGTCAGCGTTGGAACCAGATGGACCCGTTCCCGAAATCCATTACGAATATTGTGTACAGTTGTAGGTATAGCAAGAAGAAATTATTTTCTTTCCAATTGGGCATACTTGTGTTACAAAGTAAAAAACTCATGCCATGATCATTTTACTTCGCTTCACAGTTTGTATTTTAGAACCAGATTCAGATCATATTTAAGAATATAAGAAGTAAGAAGACCAATGAATTTCATGCTTACCTAAGCCCCTTTTACTGCAGCTGCTAAAAATGATGTGAACTGGGGATCCATGGAGCAGTGCCTTCACCAGTCAGAACCGGTTTATATAGCCTTGGTCAGAACCTAACATCAACATTGAACAAGATACACATACTGATACATACCTTTTCTAATATTCTTGGTAAAAGATATTCGTCTTTAGAATTAAATACATTAGTCCTTACAACTATCCTGTTGCGAACGGAAAATTCACTGACCAGGCTCAGGGCTTAAACACACTGCACTCTTGACCTTCGAATCTATTTGACCTCAGATTCAAGCACGACACGAAATTCACGAGCGATCCACGAATGATCTCCCGACATGACCTTTTAACGAAGAATGGGGGCCAGAAGCCCGCGAAAAGAGACGCATTTGAGCCCCCTTCAATCATTGGCGAATAACTACTACGCGTCCGATTATAACCAATCAGGACAAGAGTAACAAACGACGAAAAATCTACCGAAATGTAAACAAAAAGAGCGACATAAACGGCGCAATAACACAAATAACTGGCGCAAGCGTTGCCAAATGCAGCCATATCCTCTACTGTAGTACATTTTATCTATGTATGTATGTATGTATGTATGTATTGATCTAAAATCCATCCACATAACATGGTTTTTCAGGATTCAGCGTCATGCACAATACAGTAAAATGCAAGAAGGCATAGGCACTGGCAGATAAAATAAGACAACTAATTGCACTAAAACCGGAATAAAACACAGCACCCCAAGATCTCAGGCTTCGCTGGCCGCCACTGCGCGGCGAAACGCGGTCAGCGTGGGCTGCTCCCTGACGGCCGGCGGCAGCCGGTCCCACGCGGCAGCAGCGCGGTAACTAAACGTTCTCTGTGTGGAAGAGAGCCTACACTTCTGCAGCTCCAGGGCGCCAGCTTCTACAGAGCGTGTGACCCGGCCAGACACCTCAGAGCGGGACACGAACATGCGGCGGATGGAGAGAGGGTAAGCTGGTATGTGGAGCGCCTTCCACACCTTCAGTAGGTCCCTCTCCCACACCAGCCGCTCCACTCTGGGCCAGCCCAGGGATGCCAGAGCCGGCCCGATCCTCTCCCGACGCCGCACGCCTGTCACGATCCGAGCACTGAAGTTGATGAGTTTTTGGATCCGAGTGAGTTGATTTTTTGTGGTTCCGCCCCACACCGAAATGCAGTACAGAATGTGAGGGAACACGTGGGTCTCAATGAGTAACTTTAGCGTTTCCTGGTCAAAATGGTGGCGGAACTTGGAGAGGGATATGAGGAGGGCATTGCACCTCCTGACGATGTGACTGATGTTGGCGTCCCAGGCCAAACACGAGTCGACAGTCACCCCCAACAATTTGATGGTTGGTGACGGTTTTAAGACTGACTCAGCTATGCAGATATGAAAGTTTTCGACCTTGCTGAGAGTCTGGCGGGTTCCGATGAGAATGAAGTCGGTCTTTTGAGGGTTCATTTTAAGAGAATTTGAGCTAAACCAGTGTTTCATGACATCCAAGGAGTTTTCGACACGTTGTTTTAGTGATGCTAAATTTTGAGGGTCAGGACGCGAGTGATCGAGCAGCTGGGCATCGTCAGCATATGCGATCATCCGACAGTCCGGTAGATGGCAGTGCAGGTCGTTCGTTAGCAGGCTGAAGAGGATCGGCCCGGCTATGGATCCCTGCGGAACCCCGCAGGGGACCGGCAGGACTGTTCTGCCGCCCCTGACCAGCTGCCCCCGGCCGCCAAGATAACTACCAAACCAGGTCGGGTCGATCCCGTACCACTCCAGCTTACGCAGGAGGACGCCGTGGTCGACGCTGTCGAAGGCCTTGCTGAGGTCAGCTGCCGTGACTGAGGAGACCTCTCCCCGCTCTGAGTTCTGGCTGATCCATTCGACAGCGTCGAGCACGGCGTCCTCCGTGCTGTGACATGATCGGTAGGCGTACTGGTTGTAAAATAAAATGTTGTGGTCCGATAGGTACCGCGACAGTTGGTCACACACAACCTTTTCAACAACTTTTGACAAGTGAGATAAAAGTGAGATCGGTCTGTGGCTAGATGGTTCGTGTACATCACCGCGTGGCTTAAGGATCGGCACCACCTCGGCAGTTTTCCACGCCTCAGGGAAAACACCTTTGGACAGGGACACATTCACAAGTCGCAGCAGGTGGGGGCCAATCACATCAAAACAGCGCTTCACCGCACCGAGTGGCACCCCGTCCAGCCCCACCGCCCCAGACGAGTTCATCCGCCTCACAGCTCGCGCCAGCTCCGGTAGGGTCGCAGGCTGGAGCCGGAACGCCGCTGAGACTACTATAGGCGGCCGCGGGGCTAGGCCCGCAGTGACGTCATCATTCAAGTCGGCCGCGATGCGAGAGCCCACCGACGCGAAGAACTCGTTGAATCGGTCAGCGCGGGCCCGCTGCTCGGCTGCACTCTTGTCTGAAGTCGAGTGTGCTGAAGCGGAGGGCGCCAGGTAGAACCTCCTGAGGCTGGACCAGAACTCCTTGCGGTCAGAGGCCAGCAGCTGGCGCCCCAGGAACTCCCTGCGCGCCTGAGCCAGCTGAGCCTTGACGAAGTTCCGCAGGCGGCAGTAGTCCTCGCGGGACTCGGGAGTGTGTAGGTCCAGCCACGCCTGGTACGCCTCGTCACGCTCCAGCATGGCCTGTCGCAGCTCGTGGTTGTCGGACTCGGACTATTCTCGGACTATCTATTCAAGGACTCGGTACTCAGAGCACCTAGATGGCACCACTATCGGCCCAGCAGTGGGCACCACCATCCAAGCGGATAGCCCACAGCCGCAGCAGTCGACAAGACGGAATCCGTAACACTCCCCACCTTAGAGCGTTAACCTGCTTACGATCTAACCGAAACAAGCAATGCAAACAACACACACAATACAAAAGCAATCGCACACAAGTTTTCCTACTCGGAAACACAGCGCGCGTCGAAACCACACACAACGCCAATCAGTGAATACTACCGCATATCCTACCTACTCAGCTACTTCTAAATCGTGCAGCCTTTGCACCGGTCGCGTGCGGACACCCCTCGTCGTCCTCACGTCCGCCGACCGCACAACACCGTCAGAGCTAGGATGCAGACGCTGTACTACACCCATCAGCCAGGACAGTCTCGGGACATTATCCTCTCGGATAAGTACAACCGAACCTATCTGGAGCCTACCTCGAGACTTGAACTTCCTCACAGAGTGAGGCAAGTTCTTCAGATAGTCAGCCTGCCACACATCCCAGAACCTCGAGAGTAAATCCTGGCGCTGAAGCTCCCTCTCTGCCAAAGAGGACGCCGTGACCTCAGCGGAGTCATCCACCACGGGAACACGGGCACCTGCCACTCCACCTGACAAAAAGTGACTCGGAGTCAGGGGGTGAGCAGCGTCAAAATCATCACTGACAAACGTCAGAGGACGAGAATTCACCGCAGCCTCGACCTCATGAAGCAGAGTCTCCAACTCCACCTTCGAAAGTACGCTCCTGCCGAGCGTCTTCTTCAGGGCGCTCTTGACTGTGCGAACCAGCCGTTCCCACCAGCCTCCCCACCAAGCGGCTCTGGGGGCTATGAACTTCCACTCCGGGCTGGCGGGTCCGAACTCGGACAGCAGACTGGCAGCCGCACTCCTAAACGTACAGGCGTTGTCAGAGTATATGAACGAAGGCATGCCACGCCGGGCACAGAACCTCCTGAAAGCCAACAGGAAGTCCGACAGCGACATAGAATCGACCAGCTCCAAATGAATCGCTCTGGTCACACCACATGTGAACAAACAAATGTAGACCTTCTGCCGGGAAGGACAGAAGAGCGGGCCGCAGAAGTCCACGCCTGTCACAGAGAAAGGCGGAGCCTTACTTGCCCTCAGAGCCGGGAGAGGCGCCACCGGCGCGTTCAGAGCGGCAGCATCCTGTCTCTGGCACGCAACGCAGGCGCGCTTTACTCTCTTGGATGCTCTCCGGGCTCCGACGATCCAGTACTCGCGTCTGAGAGTCGTCAGGAGCGAGTCAACACCAGCGTGCTTCAACAGCACGTGCTGAAAACTGATGATCAGGTCAGCGAGATGACCCTTGGGGATCAGAATGGGACACTTGTCACCAAGAGTCATGTCAGAGTTCACCAGTCTACTGCGCACTCGCAGCAGCCCCTGCTCGTCCAAGAACGGACGCAAAGATGCAACTCGGGAGCCACCGCTAAGAGGCTTGCCTCGTCCCAGAGCATTCAGTTCTGTAGGATAGGCTTGCAACTGGGTCAACTTGATGAGATACATCTTTGCCTCCCTCAGCTCGACAAAACTCAGAGCTGGGAGGTCACGACTTCTACCAGAAACTCGCCGCTCTTTTAACATCTTGATGAACCTCAACACCAGAGCGGCGACACGAATGGCCTTTGTCAGAGAGGAGAAACGCTCTACCTCAAAGACAGGCTCCGAAGACGAATTGGCAGCGACAACAGTGGCCGTCAGCTGAGCTGCTGCGACCGGAGCCGGGGCACCAGTAGCCTCTGCAGACAGTTCAGACTCGATCAAGTCCGGCCCTGGGGGGAGGGGAAGGTCAGCTGCACCATCATCACCCTCTCTCAACCAGTCCGGGCCAGTGAACCAGCACGAGTCCGTCAGTGCCTTGGCATTGACACCTCGCGTGATCAGATCAGCTGGGTTGTCTGATCCAGGACAGTGAACCCACTGAGCAGGGTCAGTCAAACACTGGATCTCTGTCACTCTGTTGCGAACAAACTGCTTCCACCTGGACGGATCACCCTTGATCCATCCGAGCGACACCATCGAGTCCGTCCAGCACCGGTACGGAGAATCCGCTGGCAAGTTGAGCGCGCGGAACACAAACCTGAGCAGTCGGGCAGCCATCAGGCTGGCGAGCAGCTCGAGACGCGGCAGGCTGACCCTCTTCAGCGGAGCCACTCGGCCGCGAGCGATCACCAGAGGCGTCACCACTGATCCGTCACTCAGCGTCAGCTGCAGGTACACCACGGCACCGTAGCCCACCTCTGAAGCATCACCAAAGGAATGCACGGTCAGAGCACTGACATCACGCCACCCTTCACAACAGTAGCTCCGTGGCACAGTGATCCCCTTCACAAGTCTCAGACCGTTCAACCACGTCATGAACCTGCTACAGATATCGTCAGACACAGGTTCGTCCCAGTCGAGACCCAGACACCAAGTCTCCTCGAACAGCTGCTTCAGAGTCATGATGTAGGGAGACAGGAAGCCTAGCGCGTCGAACAGTCTAGCGATGAAAGACAAGATCACTCTTTTAGTCACCCTCACCTCCTCGGGAACACAAACCCCATTGAATGAGAACACATCATCACCGGGCTTCCACTCGACTCCCAGGACATGGTGACTCTCGGCGGCATCGTCTGAACTAGACAGCGCGGCCGCTTTGTCCAACACGACAGAGCTGTTAGAGCTCAGCTTAGTCAACTCCATCCCAGCCTGAGCCAGGACCTCCTTCGCCTCAGAGTACAGAGCTAGTGCGTCATCCTCAGAGTCAGCACCAGACAAGAGGTCATCTACATACATGTTCTGACCAAGTTCCGAGACCGCACGTGAGGGAGGACACGAGAGCAGGTGGTGTCTCAGCGTGGCACCAAGCAGGAACGGGCTACTCTTGACCCCAAAAGTTACCCTGTTGAAGGACATGGTCCTCACGACATCATCCTTGTGCCACAGGAACCTATGAACGTGCTGATCACGCTCCCTGAGTCCAATCATGAGGAACGCCTTGCGGATATCCGCCGACACCGCGAACCTCCATCTCCTAAACCGCATCAGCACCTCAACCAGGTCTGGCAGTAGGCACGGACCGGTCTCCAGGCAGTCATTGAGACTCACGCCATTGGGTCCCTTCGCTGACGCATCAAAGACAGGCCTAACCTTAGTGGTAGCACTGGACTCACGCACTACGGGTCGGTGCGGCAGGTAGAACACAGGACCATCCACCTCATCACAAGACACCTCGGTAATGATCCCCTCAGCCTCAAGCTCCTCTAGGGCACGGTCATAGGCTACATGTAACTGAGGGTCCTTATCTAACTTCCTATCGATGCTAGCTAGTCTAACCTCAGCAGCTCTCCTGTTGTCCTCCAGACAGAGCTGCTTCTCATGCTTCCACGGAAGCTGAACTACATATCTCCCATCTTGGAAGCACACAGACGACTCAAACTCCTGCACGACTGGGTCCTTAGACACATCCTCCTCAAACGGCGAGTCCGAGATCCCTACACTGTCTAGATCCCAGAACCGTCTCAGTCTATCCTCAGACACATCTGACATGACGAGGAGCTGAGTCCCAGTCACAGTCAGGTGACCCGCAGGCTCACCAGAGGGCCCAGACAACACCCAGCCGAACACTGTCTGCTGAGCCACCGGACCCGACTCATCCACCCTGATGAAACCGTTCCCCATCACCTGCCAGTAATAGTCGAATCCGATGAGAATGTCCACAGAAAGCTCTCGACCATCCTGTGGAGGGTCGGCCAACTCCAGGTTGCTGAACGCAGCCAGCGCACTGGACGGGACCGAAGGCCGAGCGAGCGGAGCGCAGATCACTGGAACCTCAGCGACCTCTATCTCCACCTCTGTGGGCTGAGACACACAGGCACCTGACATCTTGACACAGTAGATGTTTCTAAGCCTAGAACCACTCTCGCCCCCACCAAACGCTGCATATGACATCTCACGTGAACCGATCCAGTCAGGGGCACACCTGTTCACCAAGGCAGACGAAATGTATGACCGGTTGGATCCAGTGTCCAACAGCACAGTAGCCTTGGTGGTACCCTTTCTCCCCTTCACAATCACTGTGGCAGTAGGGGACACCACACTCAAAGAGGGCGACGAGCATGACAAGTTAGTGTCCAGTGACGGCTTCACAGAGGGACCATCAGCAGCAAGGGATGGACGATCACCCTGCTTAAAACACGACACAGCATGGTGCTTACCATTACAGTTTTTGCACCTCTCACTGCAGTTATACCCCTTGTGGCCCATCCTCAAACAACGAAAACACATACCTGCCTTCTGTATCTTGGCAGGTCGGTCACCCACCGCCAGCTTGAGCAGGTCTGGGCAGCTAGCCGTCTGATGACCACCACTGCAGAATCCACAGGCTGCAGCCGAACTTGACGTCTGCAGGGCAGCAGCAGAGGCTGCGGGCCTCTCCCGCCTGGCACGCCGCTCCTGCCGCAGGCCAGGAAGCTGCTCAGCTGCAGGTGCTGCCAGACCACTGAAGGCCTGGGACCTCTCCAGGCTGTTGATTTCCTTCTTCAGGAACTGAAGCAGGAAGTCCAGGTCGCTCTCCTTGCCTCCTCCTTCTCTTGCCCAGTTCTTGCGGACCTCTTCTGGCAGCCGTGACACTAAGAGCGGTGTCAGGACCACTCCGTACCTCTCTCCTGTCACCTCCAGTGTCTCCAAGCTCCTCACGTGGACAAGAAGCTCATCTTGCAGACACTTTAGCGACAGCTTCTGCTCCTGCCCTACTTGTAGAAGGGCCTGGATGTGTCCGAAGATGATTCGCTCCTTCCGACCGAACCTCTCCTGGAGGATCTCGCAAGTGTGTTGGTAGCTGTCCTTGCAGAGAGACATACCCTCCACACACCGCTGAGCTTCTCCCGACAGCAGGGAGCGCAGGTAGGTAAGTTTAGTTACCTCTGGCATGTCACTTTTGTCCACTGTCACTGAGAACGCCTCCCAGAACTGGGGCCACTTCAGCACATCCCCAGCAAACTTGGGCAGCTGCAGCTTGGGCAGCCTGACCTTATCCGAGGAGGAACAGCTGGATCCAGCCTCGGCACTCTCCTCCATGTTTCCCAGCAGCTTGACCGCTCTCTGCCTGAAGAGCACGGCCTGGTCCCTGACCTCACCAGCTGCTTCGATGGCAGCAGCTATGTCAGTGTCGGGCAGCTCCATCTCGTAGTCGGCCTCAGCCAAGTCGAAATCTTCCAGCCGCTTTTTTAACTCGGACAGCAAATCACACAGAGGCAACTTCTGCACTTCCTTGCTAGACAATACACCTTCTAGCTTGGAAACAGTTCTTGTGAGCCAGCCCTGAGCACTTATTTTCCGCCGTCGAAGTTTTTCTAACTCAGCCATGCTGACTGACTGAGTCCCGGGTTTCGGCACCACTGTTGCGAACGGAAAATTCACTGACCAGGCTCAGGGCTTAAACACACTGCACTCTTGACCTTCGAATCTATTTGACCTCAGATTCAAGCACGACACGAAATTCACGAGCGATCCACGAATGATCTCCCGACATGACCTTTTAACGAAGAATGGGGGCCAGAAGCCCGCGAAAAGAGACGCATTTGAGCCCCCTTCAATCATTGGCGAACAACTACTACGCGTCCGATTATAACCAATCAGGACAAGAGTAACAAACGACGAAAAATCTACCGAAATGTAAACAAAAAGAGCGACATAAACGGCGCAATAACACAAATAACTGGCGCAAGCGTTGCCAAATGCAGCCATATCCTCTAATGTAGTACATTTTATCTATTCAAGGACTCGGTACTCAGAGCACCTAGATGGCACCACTATCGGCCCAGCAGTGGGCACCACCATCCAAGCGGATAGCCCACAGCCGCAGCAGTCGACAAGACGGAATCCGTAACATATCCAACGTCCCAAACCAGAAAACATTCAAAATCAAAATAGAAACATCAAAACTTTGTGGGGTCCGCCAGAAATGTCGACATCGATAGCAATGCAAGGACAAAACAGGCGTTAAATCACTGCAAAATTATGTTGGGGATAAAGTACTGCAAAGTCGTAATAGCTTTAAACTTAAAAGTACTGCAAGGTTGCGATCATGATCATATCACGATCATAGCCAATTCATTAACGTAGAAAGCAAACTACATTTTGCTGTTAGTACCTAGATATAGAATTGATATCAAGGGTTCTGGACTTTGGTCTTGGCGTGTTTGACCTGGGATCCATGAGCAGTGTAACTACATATAACAATTTACAAACGTATCACAATGCTGAACTAGTAGGAAAATCCGTTCCTGATGCACAAGCACATCTACTCGTTAATGTATTTCGGGTCTTTGTATCCGATGTCATTAGGCGTTTAGTATGTTATATGCTAGAGTAGAGGCTTTGTCCTCTTCCCGAATGTGTTCCAAAATTGTAGCCTTTATGCAGTAGATTA